AAAAAAAAAAAGAAAACGAAAGAGGCCTTCGCGACAGTCAATCCGCGGGCACGATAGGTTATCGTCGAGCAGCGACGTACCGAACTGTCGGCGAATCGAGCTCGTGCAACGGGAGACCGACCGGAGAGACGTTGCACGGCGAGCAAAGCCAACGTACGCGAGAGAGGAAACGCGGCAACCGATTGTTCGAATCTGTCGATCACCGGTGACGCCGCAGCCGAATTGTAAAATTTCGTGTGCGCGTGATCGCAGGAGCGACTAGAACGCCGAGAGAGCGGATACGCCTGCTCCGGACACAATTCACCAATCACTAGTCCAACTCCGATCACGGCGCTGGCTCGACTGAGCTCGGCTACTGAACGTCCGCCAGTCCCCACCCCTGCGCTCGCGGCCTCGTACGTCTTCGTCACGCTTCGGTCGAGTTCGGCTACGTTCGGCCGTGTCTCGACGCCGCGCTCGTGCCTTCTCGCGACCTCGTGTCGCGCTACGACCGATGATGGTTCATCGCCGGGTACCCAAGGGCTCTTCTCTCCTACAGGAAACTTCTCCTCGGGAATGCACGTTTTCTGGCATGCTCTCTGCTACGAAATTATTATACGAACTGTGCTATCATGCGTAACGTACCCTCGAAAAATATCCTTGGCTAGTTCATGCGTACAGGCGTACACATATACACGCTTGTCGATCGTCATACGTGCACTAATAATTTCGATATTTTTCTATTCTCTGGTAATATATATGTAAATGTTTTATATATAAAGCATGCTCGTAAATTAAAGCATTAAGAAGATGCTCTCACTGCATGTAACAGTATATAGGGACCGTACGCATTTTGCGGATGCACGTCAACCCTTTCATACGGGATAAAGAGATTTATCTTCTCCGTCAATTAAAGTCACGCGTATGAATACGTTTCTGTTTTTGGAGCAGGCTACTGTACATAATGTACAGCCGTAACAAGGTAGATTTAATAAAATACGTTCAGTGAGAATCATACAATATACTTGCTTTGAGAATAGCGATATAAGAAAAAAATGAGTTAATTTTATCAAAATAAATCTATGTTTTACTTAATATCTTTTGTATGAAAACTTCTATATTTTTATTTTATTTAGAAAACATAAAATATATCATTTTATTATAGAAAACGATCGGTAATTATAAGTGAAAATTATATTTACTATTTTTACTTGTAAAAATAAGTAAGAATAACAGATAACATTATTTTCACTGATAATTAATAATAATATTGTTCACTGATAATTAATAATAATATTGTTGTGTATAATACAAGGAAAAAATAAATTAATTTTATTAAAATAAACATATATATGCTTTTCAAGGAAGCTTCTACACTTTTACCATCGAAAACGATCAATAATTAGTATACCTTAAGATTCGTTTAATTCTCCAAATATTCCATAAACATTTGCACCTATGTTTTATACATTTTCGGGTGAACCACAAGATTATTTATGCTGTTCTCGATTCCATGTGCACGGGGGGCATTCAGATCGGTAACAAAACCCGCGGTATCGTTTATGAATTCACTGGTATACGCGATATATCCGCAGGACGTGTGAAAGCTTCTTTTTTTTTTTCCCCCGCGAGCGTGCCGAGTATATCGGTGCTTTCGTGTCACCGGAAATGGAGAACAAGCCTCTGTTCGTCGTCGAATTACAACGAAAAAGAGGTCACGAAAATGTTTTATGGGTGTTTAAGGTGGCTATGGTTGGCGTCAATGGGACCGTGACGTCGTGCCGGAATCACGCACGACGGTCGTGACATTGTGAAGAGAATACCGTATTCGTGAACTAATGTAACACCAAGGGTCATCGTATAATTAAAAGAAAAAAAGAAAAGAAAAAAAGAAAAGAAAAAAATTTATTAGACGAACTTCGTTTCTCGCGTATCCCCTTGCCTCCTTTCGTAACTGCAATTCACATCGTCATATTGTTATTAAAATCGACAGGTGAACTCTTACCGATCGATTTACCGATAATTCCGCGTACGGATAGGTTCTTTAGTCAGTATTAATAACAGGAAAGGACAGTATCTATTACGACGTCACCAATGATACTCCACTAGTCGCGTTCGTGACTCTGGCAAAGACAGTTTTTACGCAATCATACGCACGGATGCAAGTTTAAGGTTGCATGGATCTCGTTGGCCGATACGCGTGCTGCTCAACGTGTCCATAAATTAGTGTCACGCCTCGAATAGCTTTCTCATGCTACGCGTCGGCCATCTCGGCGAACGGATTTCTGCTCCTGTGATCCGTTCAGTTCGAACTGCGGTACGAACGGACACCAGAGGGAGAGTAAAAGCACGACACTGACGAACAAACGATTTCTCTCTGATGGGAACTGGAGTCTCTACGCGATAAGCGATTCCTTTTGTGAGAAAGTTTGAGAATCTTGATTTAGAGAAAGAAAGAAAGAAAGAAAGAAAGAAAGAAAGAAAGAAAGAGAGGTCAGTGTTAATAAGGACGGCCCCGGGGCGCAGGGTCCCCTTGACCCCCTTAAAAAAACGTCCCTGAGTCTCATTCGCCCCAGAGCACGCGAAGAGTGTCGTGTAAACTCTATTATGCTTTTCATTATTTCTCGTTTTTTCCCCCCTTTTCACGTCGACGATTTCTCGTCTGCGTCTGCACATCGTGACTAGCTCCCTCCCTGGCCTATCGGGGAGTCATGGTGAAAGATGAGCTCGCCATGGTGAACGGTGGGGCTCTGCTGCCCTGCGTGCGATCTAATAAATCGCCGATATTCGCTTTTCTTGCCTTTCTAATAATTAAACGCTTTCTTGCCGCTGGACTGGGATTTTATCGTGTCATAGTGGACAACCGCGATGTACATGCAGATTTTAAGCGAGATATAATTCACGTTGGATTATCCAATTCTTGTATATTCCTGTAATTACCCAAATTACAACGTAGACAGAAAGAACTCTAGATAAAGAACAATTTCTAAAACAAAATAATGGTTCTGAGCTTTGCGACATGACAGACTAAAATGATTTCTTAATAAAAATTCTAAAGTTATGTACTAAAAGATCACTACCATAGTTTCTTCAAATTCTGTTTGAAAATTTAAAAGCATCAGATTATTCTGAAAGGATCACTATCCTCTCTCGCAATAAGATTAAGTACAGGCTTGCCGAAGAGAAATAATCGATTTTAAAAAATAAGAATGTTCATGAGCATTCTATCAAAATGCGCGAAAAGGAAACGACTAATTAATTAATTGTCGCAGAATCACACTGCGAATTGCACAGAGCAGAAATTCTCAAGTGGCACACGAGTTCCCAAAACGGCTGTTAGGATCGACGTTAAATGGAAACGATATAATAATGTACGTCTACTTCGAGTAATTGTGTGCACTGGCAGCTGCCGTCGTAAAAGAGATACTTTCTTTTGAGTGCTGTCTGTTTCTTTAGACCAATTGTGTCTGTTGACCAGTTCGAATCGACAAGCAAGCTCGTTCTTTCGTTGCCTTCAGCCGTTATATTTATTCTCCGTGAATAATCCTAAAGTGGGTTTTAGTAAGTAGTTCAAACGACTACTCTCGGCTTGATCTCGACTACTCGCTGTCAGACAAATGTTACATTTAAAAGTTTAGTTTATACTTTTTGTACCTTTATATTCAGAATGTTGCAGTATAGTTTTATGTGTATGTGTTCCTTCTTCCATCGGGAGGGAAATTTGCTGAAATTAAAATATTTCAATTGCCGTACAATTATAAATCATGATGATACTAAAATTAGAAACTTTTGGAAGCATATGCATGCAGCTCGTACAGAATATTTGGACCAATTTTTCAAAGTGTTTCGTGGAGAGAAAAGATACTTGATACAGGTCACTTAACTTTCTCATGGCAACGCTGGCACGAGCCTGTTGCTTGAACTGAATTAATTTGCAGTTACGTCAGTACGGCGACCGAGTGATCGTTGCTCTCCGCTTCCAAATGCGTTTATTCGGCCGATTTCTATTAGACTGATTAGATTCTGCAAATGATTCTGTAAATCCGCGGGTGACAGGTTTCACAACTGCATCGATCTTCTGTCATTGACAACATGTTACGCACTGCGTCGTGAAACATTGCGAAAATAAAAGAAAATTCTTTTATTTCTGCCATTGTCACGATATATTTCAAAGTCATCATCTGTCTTCTTAAATAGCGATTACATCTAAATTAAATTAAGATAACAATATTAAATTTGAAAGCATAGTTCATTATATTCGCTGTTGCTGTTGGATATTTATAAGTTTCAACAATGAGTAACAATTCAGCTAAAATATTCTATTTAACTCGTCCAAGGCCAACAGTCAATTGCAATAAGAAACTTAACTCTAATTTTAAACTGTTTTAAACTTAATTTTTCATTTTTTCCCTAACTTTAATTCCTTCCTCCAACACTTCACGTTTCAATGTCGACTCAAATATTATAATATCGATCATTTTACAACATCCTTCCATACAGGACGTGTTATCGATTTTGAGAGAGATGAAACGTACGCTTTCATCTCTCTCAGAAATGTTAATTCCTCGCAAAGGGAATTTTCGTGGCAAAAATGTTTAAGCAGAGGCCGAGGTGGAGGGATTTCGGTTTCGAGATGGAATGGGCTTTCGCCATTTCGTACGGTCCAGCTGTTTCTCTGCCCGCCATAAAAACTGGTGCGTAGCCTTATTTCTTTCTCTCTTTCTTTCTAACGTCGATTTACATTCACGTCTACGCATGCACGACTCTGTGTATTTTGGCGTGTATTTCACGTACGAGTTATTTGTTTCAATTCACGTTTGTTCGAGACTCTCCGAGCAAAGAATCATCGGCTTCACCTACCTTTCTCCTATCCTTTTTCTTTTTTTTTTTTTCGTTTCAATTTTTCTACCTCCCGTTTGGATTTTAATCGTACACGATTTGACGGCAAACGGATAATTAAATCGACACTGTTTGTTCGAAGCAGCTAGCCTCGGGCGAGCAATGAAAAATACGAGGCCCGTGGAATTAAACGTGAATGGAATGAGCGCCAGGAAACGTGCCAGAGAATTACGACTCCGTGGACTCTTTCTACCTCGTCGTGTGGCCGTAGTTTCCTTTACGGCCTTTGGATTTTGAGTATACGCGCCCGTGTGGCTCGTGTTTGTACGTTCGAAACGTACGATTACAAAGGATCTGGGTCTTGCGGCGCTCTCGGTGTGAATTTTACAGGCAAATGGCAACGCGAGTTTCTCTAGCGACGATTTTCTAAGGAGTCGCGAGGCAACCAAGTTGTACGCCGAGTGTAATTTGTGTCACGGATATTGGAGGAATTAGCCTTACGTGTTTGGACATGGCAGAACGGCTGACAAAATCTTGGAACGTCATTCTTGATTCGCGCTTCGCTTAACTCTTTGTCACGAGTGCCCCGAACAAACATGCACGGCAAGGTATTTTTCAACGTAAAAAAAAAGAAAGAAAGAAAGAAGAAAATTGTACAGTTAAAGTAAACTGGAAATGCAGAGGTTTATGTTACGTCGCGTTACATTAATTGAATTACAGATTTGTCCGATGTGCTTTTCAGTTTTTCAGGTCGTTTGATATTATTTTATATGTTCAATCAAAAATGAAGTAATCTGTATGTATTCCATTAAATGAAATTTGCCACTTTTCTTAGTATGAAAACTTGTGCCTTCAAGAAATAAATCATTTTCGATTGCTCGTGTATATAACAATATTATAATGTGTAATACATAACATTATATAATGCAGATATACAATACACACATATTATAATAAAAGTATATTATAATAAAAGAATGTTACATAATATCTGTATTATGTAATATTATATATAATAATATGTATAAAGTTATATATAACATCACATAATACAGGTATTATATAACACTCGATTCCAAACATTAAAATCTCAATAATACAAATTTAATTAATTATTCGTTACTGAAATACGAAAACTTGATGCGATCTGGTCTCAAACACAAAGTCCAACACCCCACCCACAAGAATCCAAAATAAATTATATATAATACAGGTATATTATATAATACTTGACTCCAAACTTAAAAATCCCAATAATACAAAATTTATTCGTTACTGGAATGTAATCTGATCACAAACACAGAGTCCAACACCCCACCCACAAGAATCCAAAATAAATTATATAACAGAAGTTACATATAATACAGATATATTATATAATACTTGACTACAAACTTAAAAATCCCAATAATACAAAATTAATTATTTATTCATTACTGGAATGCAATCTGATCACAAACACAGAGTCCAACACCTCACCCACAAGAATCCAAAATAAATTATATAACACAAGTTACATATAATACAGGTATATTATATAATACTTGACTCCAAACTTAAAAATCCCAATAATACAAAATTTATTCGTTACTGGAATGTAATCTGATCACAAACACAGAGTCCAACACCCCACCCACAAGAATCCAAAATAAATTATATAACAGAAGTTACATATAATACAGATATATTATATAATACTTAACTACAAACTTAAAAATCCCAATAATACAAAATTAATTATTTATTCATTACTGGAATGCAATCTGATCACAAACACAGAGTCCAACACCTCACCCACAAGAATCCAAA